TGCTCCACGCCTCCGGTTTAGTGCTACCATGGAGGACGGAATTAAAGAGCTTCTGAAGGATTTTAAGTACCGGTTTTTCACCCGCTTTCAGAAGCTCCGCTGTAATTCCATTCTCGCCTGAGGCCTTGCCGTTTTTAAGTTGCTGGAGAGCCATTCTAATCTCGCTCAGACTGACGTCCGGGATATTATCGGAATAGTGTCGGATAAGACTTGCTCTTGGATCGTTACTCACACTTGCGTGTGACTCCAACGATGACGTGTACAGCTGCTCATAGAACCTCTCATCCTCACTCAAAATCTCAGGTGTCTAGGAAACGATGCTGCCAGATTCCGTCTTCAGCTTCGACAGTTGGCATTTTCTGGCAGACAGATCTCTGGCAAAGACTTTGGAGCCCTGGTTCCACTCGATCGCTTCTTCAATACGAGCAGTATTAAGTTGCGTAAGCCGCATGCGTTTGAAGATCTATCTGTTCAGTTGCTTGTATGCTATCAAATCTACTGAAGAATGCAATTTCATTTCCCGTCTAACAGCCATGAGATTAAGAGTGTGATCGGAGAGTTTTTCTGTTCTTCTGCGGCGGGTCTTGCAAAATTTAGCTCCGACCGCGTGGACATTTTCCACGAGCTTGTCATTTATATCGTCCACTGCATTGCAATCTTCTAGGCACTGAAAACGATTTTGAAACTCGATCTCGAAGGTTTCGGGACTTTGGATTAGAGCACGAGGGGGACGGAGCGTTGACTTCATTAGACAAGACCTCGCCAACTTAACGTTTAGGTTCAGTGTGCCTTTAACCATTCGGTGATCGCTACTAGTTTTCATCCTCTCGATCACTGAGACAACAGTTGTCTGTCGTCTGGTCGCCATAATGAAGTCAATCTAATTTTTGTCGAACCATTGACGCTCGACCAGGTCCACTTCCCGTGGGGCCGCTTCTGGAAGAAAGAGTTCATCATAAAGAGTCCCTCTTTCTCCATGAAGTCGGCCAGCTGCTGGCCCCTTGGGTTCCGTTGCCCTATTCCGAATTTCCCTACTTTCAGCTCACTGTTCTCTCTTGTGCCTAGTTTTGCATTGAAGTCTCCCATTAATACCGTATAGTGGGTTTTGGAGGAATGCATGGCTCTGGTGATATCCTCATACATTTCCTCCACCTCCTCATCGGGATGTGCCGAGATTGGTGCGTAAACCTATACGACCTTCAGCGAATACTGTTTGGTGATTCTGAGTACAAGGTACGCTACCCTCGTCGACACACTAAATGAATAAAGACTAAATCTATTCCAATTCATTACCCAGAAGACACAAGTTTGCGCGTTTACCGCTAAAAAGAACCCCTTTGTCGTATCTCCTTAGTTTCAAGGCACTCCCCTTGCTGCCTCAGCTAGCATCGGAATCCTCGGCGTCGACATTTAGAATAGTGTGCAGTTTCGTGGTCACTTGGAAGGGAAGGCCAAAATGGCCTCTAAAAAGCTTGACCTGCTCATCAGAGCGGGACAGTATTTCATGCCAGCACATGGCTTGCAACTTTACAAAGCGCAAATCCGGCCTCACATGGAATACTGTTCTCATCTCTGGGCCGGGGCACCCCAGTGCCAGCTACTTTCACTTGACCGCATCCAGCGCAGAGCGGTTCGAATCGTCGACGACCGAGTTCTTTCTGATCGGCTGGATACACTGACATCGCGTAGGAATGTTGCATCCCTTTGCATTTTTTATCGAATTTACCACGGGGAGTGCTCTGAAGAATTGTTCAGATTAATTCCAGCCGCCTAATTTCACGAACGCACATCGCGTCAATATTCACGAGACCATCCTCACCATCTGGATGTTTGGCGGCCCACGACTGTGCGTTTTACTAGGAGTTTTCTTCCTCGTACAACTACTCTGTGGATTTGTTTACTACCGGCAATTTTTCCGGACCGATGCGACTTAGGGACCTTCAAGAAAAGAGCTTACACCTTTCTAAAAGGCCGGCAACGCATCTGCAATTCCCCTGGTATTGCCGCATACACGTTTGCCCCCTCTTCTATAAAAAAAACACTCCCAATCTTTACAACGTTGTTAACGAGAGACTTGTGGACGATAAATCCGTCACCTCCTTGGGACAGATGGTCATCCTCTCGGTGATAGAACAATTTCGAGAACGGATTCGAGGATTACCGTGTCCTCCTCCTCTCTTCGGACTTCGGATAATATTATAATATTCCAGCGCAACTTGTCTATCTCTTCTTCCAGCTCTCGTAAGTCCTCAGGGTGCGTACGTTATAAGTTGCCAGGTCGAGTCGTCGTAGGTGGCAACCGAACCTCCACTGGAGATTCTTAGCACCCTCTGCCCCGCTGTTACCATGGTTGCCAATGTCTATGCTCATGGGGGGTATATTGCCATAGTTGCCACGCTTGGCGAGCGGGTTGGCAACCGCAGTTTTTTATTGCTTTTTGTTGTTATCAGAAAGATGCTGCTGCCCATCTTCTGCCTCAGCTTCCCTCTGTCGCCTTTTACGACACCCACGGGAAGATATGGGGTAGTGAGTATTCTTACCCGCCACTACACGGCTGGCTCATAATTAATTAATATAAAATATAAGATAATAGTACAAGTACCTATGTTTAGACTTGTGATGGGCTTGAGGTAGTACATTATCTTCAATCTTCAAATGTCTCGCCACCCATATATTGCCCCCTTTATCGGCCCGCATGTAGTTGAGATTGGGCTTAAAAAAGCTATCATATTGTCTTTTATCCACCAGAATACCTTATTATAGGTATTTTGATAGAATACTGTAAAGGTATAACAAAATACTAATTTCGTTTTCAAAACAAAATAAATAAAAAGTTATTTCGTTACATTGAGTTATAAGTACTACTTCTTCGTAATTTACTTTATTATTTTTTTTATAAAATAAGAACCACCGAACTACTATGTATTTACTATTTTTATTCTGTGGTATTCCTTATATACTTTCATGACTACTTAATTTTTCATGTTTAAATTAATAAAATAATAAGCGATTTATGTTATTCTTGGTCGTTTTAATACAAAACTTTTAACAATCCTCTTCTGTACCGAAAATCGATATTTTCGTCTGACGTACATCTCATTTGAAATTGCCGCGTGTGACGTCAACGCTGACGTCTGACGTCAATGACGTCATTGCCCCTTCTTCAATCAGTGCTTCTCGTTCTGGCCCAAGATAAACATTGCGGTGCGAGTGATTAGCAATAGTCGTGTAAAGGTTGTGAATCGGGTTCTTTTTTCACAAGCAAGTGATGTTCAATTTAAGCTCTATGCATTGATATCAGAATCACTGATAAAAGAACATAATCACAACATAATTAATATTTAATATCTGTCTCTATTACGAATTTGAAAAGGAATAATTGAAATCACATTTCCATATTATGAGGATTTTAGGTATTTGAAATAAATAAAAGGCTTATTACATTACACGATTTATCGGGCCCTGTCCATCGTGTGCCCTGCCTACCAGACAGGGCGCTGCTTATTACACTACGCTAGAAATCGCTTCCTGCCTCAGTTGTTACTCGAACGTGGAAATGATTGCACGTCTAGCATTATGGCGCAGACTTTATCTAAACGTCAAAAAATTGCTTTATTGTTTTTTTTACGTGGTAATGCCATGCTATAGCTATATTAGTAGTATAGTTGTAGTACGAATGGGTCGGCTCGACCGGGGAAGGACCACGCTCTCACAGAATACCAGCGTAAAATAGCAGCTTAACACTGCTGTGTTTCGTATGGTGAGTGTAGAGAACCGGAGACCCTTTTTACTGGAAAAGAGGCATTCCATCTCAGTCCTCACGGGTGACAACGCATCTGCATTTTGATTCGCATACGAGGATAAATGTAGGTATCTATGGGCCACAGCAACCACTTACCATCGGGTGGACTGTGTGCTCGTTTGTCACCCTATCCTATAAAAAAAACTTTGGCTGACGGTAACGTGCAAGGTCAAGCTAAAAAAAGGAAGGAAAGTTAAATGTGGATGAAAAAATATTTGCTCCTGAGAGAAAAACTATCGAATATGCAAATAGTCAACGTTTTGGACCCAACAGACCTACGAAACTATTTTAAAGAGTAGGTGAAAACCAATTGGACGAGTTATAAGCTTAGTAACGCCTTTAATAGAAAAAAAAAATACTTTAATGATTTCTTATATTTACGCGAACACTACGCATTGAATAAAACTACTTGTATGGATTCTATCGCGTTTAATTTTTTTTTAATTAATTCCCGACGTTTCGGATGTTTTACAGCAACCAGTCCCCCGTGACCATGGGTGGTAAAGTACCCGAAACGTCGGGAATTAATAAAAAAAAATTAAACGCGATAGAATCCGTAAAAGAAGTTTTATTCAAAAGAATACTTTTTTAAGAGAGATTGGTTGTCACTTTACGATTTTGGCCACTGGAAACTCCTATCAAGATTTGATAAGGCATATCTTTGTAGATGTCGATGACATTGAGAAGGATCTTTTTCTTTAGCGCATGACATAAATACGAGTAATGATTTAGAGAGTAGATCGACATAGTAGAACTTTAAATAAACAAACGTGTAGACTCTGCGCATGCGGCCACGCAACTGAGCTCCCTGCCTCCCTGTCTCTTATTACACTACACGATCTTATATATTAGTCTATGACACGATCCACAGCGCGGCAGGGAAGCAGGGCGGTCGGAACCACTCGGTCGCCCTGTTTAGGGCTATTAGTGTTCTGTGGTTTAGGGACCCTGACTCCCTGTTTCTTATTACACTACCCTGTCCCTGCGGGCAGGGCCCGAGAAATCGTGTAATGTAATAAGCGTTTAAATTGTACTTATTAATGAAAAGTCAAGGGCCGCAATTGAACATCCTTTCCGTAGCGAATGACGTGAGCGACAGTGGCGCTAAAGTGGCTGCATGCCTAAACTAACGACAGTAGTCAAAAATCGGCCGTGGTGTATGTGAGGCCGAGTGGCGGTATCGCGGTTTTTCACGAAAATGGCCAACAACATCAAGCCAATACACAAAAGCAAGCACTTCCCGATCGACCAGTTAGTATGTGTGGGCAATTACGAGCTGGAAAAGACGATTGGGACAGGAAATTTCGCTGTGGTAAAACTAGCTACACATGTAATAACGAAGACCAAGGTGGGTACTTATCAGGTTCCCTCGCGTATTTCAGTGGCTAAGTGTTTTATTTGTGTGTGTTTTTGTCATCTGGATAAATGTGTTTTACTTTAACGCGCGCAACGAGTCCTTTCCAGTGTTCTATAAGTGTTTCTTGCTGTAATCCGGTTATTACCATTCATCTTTAGACTCCGATGTCCAGGTCAGACGAACTCCAAGTTTAATTACTACGTTTTAAACATACTGTCAAGAACTTGTTTCCTGAAGATACAGGGGCAAGATTTTGCTATAAAAAAAGAGAAACCAACCAGTTGCACGACGCATTGTTTACTTTATGCTGTAGTATATAACTTTAGCGCTATTGCAATCGGTCGTATAATACCTTCAAATTTCCCTCAAAGAATGAAATTGCGTTGGTAAACTAGTTGTTTTTTCTGTACATTTTTTACTGTAACTTTTCCGCAACGGCGGGAATTGTAAGATGACCTCCAAAATGTTTTTACGACAATTATTGTCAATTGGCAAACTTACAATGTCCCCACATTCAATTATGGTGACTTGTTATTGGATAGTTAACTAAAGCACATCATGTCTACACGTAGTATCAAAGATCTTACTCACACACACTTCCGCTATTTAATATTACAAAACATACAAACCATGATAACAATCAAAAACATTGTTTTTATCAGCTATAAAGTTATGAAAATGTTGCTCTATTACTTGGTACTATTAAAATAATCGCAACACGTCGGTGTATCATTTACAACAAAAAGTACATCTACTACATTTTAATTAACACAAAATGTTAAAACTATGTGACAGTGCATTTGCTTGAAGAACCTCCCACCAGTAGGGATCGTCTTTGTCATACATATATATTTTATCAAATGTCATTCTAATAAGAATCTTATTTCCATACATGTAAAATATCAATGATCAGTTGATTACAATTAACCTATACTGAATATTTATCAATTACTACAAATTACCAAAGATTATACTACCATTTTAATGACTTCATTTCATTTCATCATTTCATTTATTCCTTTTTTTAACTCAATGACATAGCATTCCATATTAGTTTACCTTACCTTTATTTTGTTTATTTATAGAGCATGGAAAAAATATCAAGACCACAATGACTGCTCCCCATTAAACATTTCGTGTACATATTTGTTGACTTTACTCAAATTTACTGAATCTAGTGTCATGTTTGCATATTCTAAGAAATGTACAAATTCATTAATTCATTGCATCCTATCACAAGTCCACTGCTAAACATAGGCCTCCCTTTTTTGAGTGGTCCGTCTCCCAAATACTTATATTTTAATAGGAGCTTGGCTTTAGGCCCTGAAGTCGTAGCCATTTGACAACAAGTTATATGTAATTAACTTGTTTTGTATTATGCTGGTTAATAATACGTACGTAATATTGTACGTGGTAGAGCCATGCTGCAGCTATATTAATAGTATAGTTGTAGCACGAATGGGTCGGCTCAACTGGGGAAGGACCACGCTCTCACAGAATACCAGCGTAAAATAGCAGCTTAACACTGCTGTATTTCGTATGGTGAGTGTAGAGAACCGGCGACCCTTTTGACTGGAAAAGAGGCATTCCATCTTAGACCTCATGGGTGACAATGCATATGCATTTTGATTCTTTATTGAGGATAGATGTGAATGTCTATGGATCACAGCAACCACTTACCATCAGGTGAACTGTGTGCTCGTTTGTCACCCTATCCTATAAAAAAAAATTCAGGCTTCATTTAGTAGGGGGTTGCCCAACACTGCATTTACCTGTACGAGATTGCATCTTGAGAACCTTTCTTCTACTTCAGTTGATGGTTTTTCAAGCTACTTCATCTTACTGATACCAAGATTATATTAGTTACTCTTGTGCTTGTAGAAGCACAAGAGTAACTAATATAAGATACAAGAGATATCCCTGTTGCATATTTAATCCCGCAGAGAAATTCTGAGCATAGTCTTTTAAATTGCACGAACACTGAGCTTCTTCATACGGCCAGCAGTCTTTACTGCTGGCCGTAGCTTCAGTTCTGTAGGACATCATGTGCAACAGGCACTGGTTGCAAACTGATGTCTTAAGATTTGCTAGTGTTTGTTCATTGTTATCTTATTCTTATATTGTCTAATATTTTGTATATGCAGATATCTGCTTACAGTTTATTACAGAGCTGCTTTAAAATTAATGTAATCAAAGGCCATTTCTTATGTAAATGAATGAAAGAAACTAGTCATTAAAGTACCAAGGAATTCACATATGGTACAGTCCTATTCCCAGCAGTACAGTGCTAAGAACACTGGCTGCATTTTCTGAATGGGTATACTTAGCCTTTGACTGAGAATAGTACCAGCTCTCTTATCACCAGCGGCAAAGACAAATTAAAATGGCAATCCTATTTTCAGTATATTTTCAGTTTAAGCTATACATTAAAAGTTTTAAGTTTCTTGCTCACTAAAAACAATATTTGTGCCAAACAAACAAAGAGGCAGACAAGTAAAGAAATTTATGTTGCAAGATTACGTCCTCGTGTGGTAGAGCCACTCTGCAGACATGCTACTTATACATAGCTATAGCACAAATGGTTCAGCTGGACCGGTTTGGGACCAAATTTCCACAGAATACTAGGGTGAAACGGCAGAATAAAGCTGCTGTGTTGTATGGTGATTGTAGAAAACTAGAGACATTTTTCTTGTAATGAGGCATTCCACCTTACTCCTCAGATTTTTTTGTAGGATAAGGGTGACAAGTGAGCACAGAGTCCACCTGATGGTACGTGGTTGCTTTTGCCCACATACATCTATATCTATCCTCATTTGTGAATCAGAATGCAGATGCATTGTCAGCCGTGAGGACTAAGATGGAGTATCTCTATTCCAGTAAAAAGGGTCTTCGGTTCTCTACACTCACCACACAATACACGGCAGCATTTATCTGCTACTTTACGCGAGTCTGTATATCAGGAGTGACAACGCATCTGCATTTTGATAATTAAAGATAGACATGGATGTCTATAAGCCGTGACATCCACTTACCATCAGGTGGCCTGTGAGCTTCCTTGTCACCCTCATTCATTCTATAAAACCCTTTTTTTTAACAGCATGGTCAGCATTTTAGCCATAGCACAAATTTTATTTACTTTTTTAGTTTATGTCTTAGTGTCATATCCTGTCCGTGTTCTCATGGCAATCATTATTACAGTGTTGAAAAATATACCCTTTTTATTTCTCAGTTGCATGTTAGAATCCTAGGTGTACAAACTGTATCATTTCACGGTAATACATTTTCTACATTCTAAGTTTTAGATAATTTTAATACAACCCGTTTAGTGTAAAATATAGTCAAGATCACTCCTGGATTTGCTCTATCTTTATGTGAAATCTCATTCCAAAGATTAGCCTGGAAGATAGACAGACAGACAGATAGCCAGACAAAAGTTTTAAATATGACTGTTTATGTCTTAATATCAATAACCCTCTGAAATTAATAGAAGCCAGTTATTTTGATATCACAGACATCACTAATTTGTTTATACATATAGATATGTATAGATTGTGAATCAAAATGCAGATACCTTATTATTCTTAAGGATTAAGTTTCAATGCTTTATTATCTGTAAAAAGAGGCTGAGGTTCTCATCAATAACCACTAAATCCAGCGGCATTACAATGGTGTTTTTAACACTGGTAATCATGAAGAATGTGGCCCTTATTAAGTCCAGCAAATCCATTCATGCTGCAGCCATAAGGTACAGTATGGCTCTGCCAACTTTATTTATTTTGCCACACGTCAAAGTGATTATGGACACAATATCATAACATAAAATCCATAAAAATATAAAGCTGGTGTTGATACTTTTTGTTTGTTTGTTTCCAATTTTAAGGAATAATATTTATGCTGGCAGTTAATAATATGTTTATATTTTCTTTGGCAACATTCACTGAGTGATGATTTTTAAATGATTTCAATTAGGAATAATCATTCCAGCCAAGATTGCTTTCAAAGAGGCCAATGGCATTAAAAATAATAAATAATATTATCTTTATGATATTTAGATCGCTTTAATAACATTTTGAAAATAAACACCAGTATTCTAAAGAGAAGATCATGATGTTATTCCAAATTAAAAAAAGTATATGTAGTATAATTTTTGCATTTATTGTGTTAAGTGTTTTCATGTAGTAGAGCCACGCTGCAGCTATATTAAGGTTGTAGCATAAATGGGTTGACTTAACTGGGGAAGGACCACACTCACCGAATACCAGCGTAAATTAGCAGCTTAATGCTGCTGTATTTCATATGTTGAGCGCAGAGAACGGGAGACCCTTTGTACTGAAAATGAGGCATTCCATCTCTTAGTCCTCAGGTATGACAATGCATCTACATTTCGATTCTTAATCAAAGACGGATGTAGATGTCTATGGGCCACAGCATCTACTTACCATCAGGTGGACTGTGTCACCCTTACTCTATAAAACAAAAAGGAAAATAAAGTTACAAGATGGAGGTTCATTACCAAATGTGGTAGACATCTGTCAGATGCAGTACTTGACTATTATCCAATCGGTAAGTTGTTATGTAGTCAAAGAAAGTAAAGTGAAAAAAATTTCCTCACTCAGCATTAGTTGAGGTGAAATGACGTTAATTACTGTCCAAGGCCATGGAGAATACAGTTCCGCGACCAATGTAATATTTTTACGATAATTGGATTGCTGGAGCCATTGTCAAAGTTGTATATGTTTTTTTTTTGTTTATTAATTAATTATGCATGTATGTTTATTAATTAATAAACATACATGCATAATTAATTAATACATACTACTGCTTCTTATTTGTAATCTTGTTTTGAAAAATTGATGCATGCATATTTTTGCCCCTTGCATTTGTATTTTTCTTTTAATTTAATGGTATAAAATAAATAGTTCTTTCTTTCTTCTTTGTCATGTTATACTGGCCCTCATGTTCTGAAGGAAATGAGGGCCAATATAGGAGTA